GGGGCCGCGGGGCGGCAGGAAACCGGGCCGGTCCCGCGCGCCCAGCTGTCCAGTCTGGGTCGCCCCGCCGAGCGGTGCCCGCGCCTGGCCATGGACACCCCAGAGCCAGGTAGGGAGTCTGGGGCCGGGAATCGGGGGCGCCCACGCCATCCCCCACTTGGGGAGCCTGGCCTGCCCCTCGGCGTCAGAAAGCCGGGAAGTGAGCTCCGAATGGGGCCCTCGCGGGGGTCCCCATCGCAGAGCCCCCAGCTCAGAAGGGGCGGCGCTCACCGGCCCGCGACCCCCGGGGCCCCGTCCGAGCCCGCACCCCGGACGCCGGCGAAGGGGCCAGGAAGGGGAAGTGGCCGCTTCTGCTTCTGATCCCTGCGATGGGGGCAGGGTGTCGCTGCCGCGGTGACAGCGAGCGCAGCGGGGTCCCCACGGCCGAGCCCCGGCCGCCAGCGCCACCGGCCGGGACGGGCGGAGCCCGCTGTCTTTGTGCTGCCCGCCCGCGCCCTCCGCCCGGGTCCCTCGTGGCTGCCGTCTGTCCCTGTGTTTACGCCGCGGGCTCTGTGCCTGGGGTCCCACGTGTGTACCCATCTGTCCGGCCCGGAGTCCATGTGGTTCATTGTCACCGGCTCCCTCTCCTCGGGGACGGCGGGGCGCATCTGGCGCTGCATGCTCGCCCGCGTGGGTGTCTGCTCCTCTGCGCAGCTGCCTGCCGGGCTGTGCCATCCATCTGCCGGGGCGGCCCGCCTGCCTGAGCCCGCTCCCTGTGTCCCCCGCTCCCCCTGGCCAGGTCTCTCCCACCCCACCCACGACCCTATTAAGGCGCAGATCGAGCTGCCGGGGGCGGAGGGAGGCAGTGGTCAGGCCGCTATCACACGCTCCCCAGGGCTCCCCCCGGCTCCGGAGGGCAGGAAGAGGTACAGCGATATCTTCCGGAGCCTGGACAACCTCGAGATCTCGCTGGGGAACGTGTGAGTCTGAGCCCGGGTCACCCAAATCCTGCTCACCCATTTAAGTGGCCTGAGACACTCCCCCAACTGGGATCTGCCACATCTGCACGACTGTCCTAATAACCTGAGAAGTCCGAGGTGGAGTCCAGAGTAGTTTATATGTAACCTCAAAGTGGTCCTAGTACACATAGCCCTCTTGTGACTCCTTAAAACCTGTGAGTGAGGGCCAGGGATATAGCTCAGCAGGGCAGTGCCTGCCTGGCAATCCTGAGGTCCTGAGTTCAAGTCTCCCCCCAAAAAAAGAAAAAAGCTGAGTTCCCGTATCTCACCCTATGAACCCGTTATCTTTTTTTTTTTTTTTTTTTTTTTTTGGTTTTTTTTTGGTTTTTCTCCAGTATCGGGAACCGAACTCTCGACCTTGTGCTTGCCAGGCAGGCGCTTTGCCGCTGAGCTAAATCCCCAGCACAACCCCCTTATCTTTAAACTCGTTTACGAGTCCTAAAAATAAACAACCTCACTTGGTTCCCCTAAAATCCTATCCCTCACACCTCCCGGACACACAGGGGACCTCAGGGTCATCCCCCAGCCACCCCAGGGCCCCAGCACCCCCACAGACAGCCCTGCCGGACAGACTCGGGGGCGCTGAGACCCTCACACTCCCACCCCAGGAACTTCGAGGTGCTGGCCGCAGACGCTGCACTCCCTGACAGCGCAGAGCCTGCCAAGGCCGCCACGGCCACTGTGGTGAGCGGGGCGTGGGGGACCCGGAGGGGGCTCAGGTGGCGGTGGGAGGCGCTCTCGGGACGGCAGGGTCCCTGAATGCTGTCCTCTGCCACCCCCAGACCAGTGATGCCAGCCGCTGGAGCTGCCCGTCCTCAGAGGGTCCTGCACCCCTGACAGGTAGGGGCCTTTGAGGCCAAGTCACTGGGGACAGAAAGGGGCGCCAGTCATCCCTGAGCCAGCTCACACCAGGCCGCACAGCAGATCTGAGCCCCAGCCCTCAGGGAGCCCCCAGCCTAAGCAAGGCTTCTGCAAAACTAACCAGGACAGTGATCCCCCCTTCGGGGAGCTGTGGGGAGCAGAACAGAGACATCGCCTATGGGGCTCAGGGACTCCCTGAGGAGTCTGCCCCCGGGAGGGCAGGGCCAGAGGTCAGGGGTCCAACCATGTGTGCCAGGGGAGGAACTGGACTTGCGGCTCATTCGGACCAAGGGAGGCGTGGATGCTGCCCTGGAATATGCCAAGATGTGGAGCCGCTACGCCAAGGAGCTGCTGGCTTGGACAGAGAAGAGAGCCAACTATGGTGAGGACCCTTCCACCCAGCCCAGACCCTAGCGGGGCCCGAAACCCCTCGAGCAGATGCCTGCCGTGTCTCCCTACCCAGAGCTGGAGTTCACCAAGAGCGTCATGAAGATCGCCGAGGCTGGCAAGACGTCCATCCTCCAGCAGGTAGCGTGAGCGGGCCTGCCCAGTGGGGCGCCCGGGTCCCCTCCTGTCCCCAGAGCCTCAGCGTCCTGCACCCCGCCCCCCGCAGAGCCACATGCCGCTGCAGTACATCTACACCCTGTTCCTGGAGCATGACTACAACCTGGGGGCCCAGGCCCTGGAGACCCTGGCCCAGCAGAAGAGAGACTACTACCAGGTGAGGAGCAGGGCACCCCGCTGCCCTTCCTGTGCCACAGCCTGGGGAGGAAGTTGCCGCTGCCATCAGTGCCATTTTGCTTATGAGGAAGCCGAGGCCCAGAGACACTCTGGAACTTGCCCAAGGTTCCCCAGCAGAGATTCACACTGGCTTCCTGTGTAATTGCAAAACCGGGTCTTGTTTGTGAAGAGGGGAGTGAATGTGTCTGTTTCAAAAAAAAAAAAGGAAGAAGAAAAAGATCCAAGCCAGGTATGATGGTGCGTGCCTACAGTCCAGCACCTGGGAGGCTGAGGCAGGGGGATCACAAGTTCAGACCCAAGCTGGGCAGTTTAGCAAGTTCAAGGCTGTCTCATAAAAGCAGAAAGGGTCTCCAGGGAAAGCCACCAGGGCTCAAGAACTGCAAGGAGCCGGGCGTGGTGGCGCATGCCTGTAATCCCAGCACTCGGGAGGCTGAGGCAGGAGGATCGCTGCGAGTTCGAGACAGCCTGGGCTACAAAGTGAGTTTAAGAGCGGCCTGAACTGCATAGCGAGACCCTGTCTCAAAAAGACAAAAAAAAAGAAAGAAAGAACTGGAAGGACGCGTTGAAGTGCCTCTGGATGGTGGTGGCTCTGGGGTGGCGGCCCCATAGGCATCACCATCCCCTACCTTTGCCAGCCCCTGGCCGCCAAGCGGACGGAGGTGGAGAAGTGGCGGAAGGAGTTCAAGGAGCAGTGGCTGAAGGAGCAGAAGCGGATGGTGAGGTCCTGCGTGGGTGGTGCAGCGGGCTGAGGGAGGAGAGCTGGGTGCTGACAGCCCCCCGTGACCCCCAGAACGAGGCGCTGCAGGCGCTGCGGCGGGCCCAGCTCCAATACATGCAGCGCTGTGAGGACCTGCGGGTGCGCTCGCTGGGGTCCCCCGAGGACCCAGCCCCCCAGGCGTCGCCCGGGCCCAGCAAGCAGCAGGAGCGGAGACGGCGCTCGCGAGAGGAGGCCCAGACCAAGGTGGGAACCCACGGCCGCGTCCCCTGGCACTGGCACCATGCCCCCACATGTGGCCGCCCCCACATGCGCCTCTCCCTGGCCTCGGTCTCCCCAGGCGCAGGAGGCCGAGGCTCTGTACCAGGCCTGCGTCCGGGAGGCCAACGCGCGGCAGCAGGACCTGGAGAGCGCCAAGCAGCGGATCGTGTCGCACGTGCGCAAGCTGGTGCTGCAGGGCGACGAAGTTCTGAGGCGGGTGCGGCCCTGACCCACAGCCACCCTCCCTGGCCTCCGGGCCACCTTGGGGCCCCAGGACTCCTCTGACTCGCGCTGCCCGGGAGCAGTCTCCCTGGACAGAGGGCCGCGCTAGTCGCTTAAGTAGCCACCGTGTGGCCGGCCCCGCCCCCAGGCCCTGCTCTAAGCGCCGGCCCCGCCCCGGGCCCCGCCCGTGACTCCCGGTCTCCACCCCCAGGTGACCCTGGCGCTCTTCGGGCTGCACAGAAAGCAGGCCGAGCGCGGGCCCCGCTCCTTCGCAGCCCTGGCCGAGTGCTGCGCGCCCTTCGAGCCGGGCCAGCGCTACCAGGAGTTCGTGCGGACACTGCAGCCTGAGGCTCCGCCGCCCCCACCGCCCGCCTTCTCCTTCCAGGAGTTTGCGCCCGCCGGGCCCAGGTGCACCCCGGGTGCCCCACGGGGAGTGGGGGCCCGACACCCAGGCAGGTGTTCGCACCGCGGGCCTGAGCGCCGGATGTCGGCGAACTGACAGCTTCAGTGGCGTTTGGTCCTCCTGACTCCTGGGGGTCCTTTTGGGGGCTCCAGTCCTGGCAGGGGCAGAACTTTGGGGCTGCTGTGCTCACGGGCATCGGGGCCTGCAGACCCAAGCCTTAGGAGCCGGGGCCTGCGTGTCGTCGCCCGGGGTCCTGGGATGGAACCCTCACAGCCCTGTCCCCTCAGCTTCCCTCTGGACACCAGAAAGAAGCTCTCCGGGCCTCCACCCCTGCGGCTGGACGAGAGCGCCGCCGAGCCGGGCGCGTGGGAGGACGCGGGCGGCGGCTGGCCAGGTGCGT